ATAACTAATTAAAAACATACGTTCCTAGACTACATTGGAAAGGTTAAAATTCAAAAATTCAATGCCAGAATAACTTTGATTGCTTTATCGTATTAATTAATTATTAATATTCCTTCGCCAGAAAATATAAGGAACAAAAAGAAATCGTTTAAATGGTTTATTTTCATTTAAAATCATGAAAGAAAATGTAGACAATTCCATCGTAGTTACGAACCGTTATGGAGAGTTAACTATAGTTTGAAGCATTACCTAATTCGCAAATGGTAAGAAAATCGCCTCATTCATTTCGGGACAGCACACAAGGTAATGAAGTCAACAAAGAATATAATCGAGCCAATTAATGTAGGAGCTGTATTAAAAAAATATACAGTGAACTAATTATAGGTCACTGCGATTTGAATGGCGATGATTCCTGTAAGCTCTGCCGCGAATGCACGAAAAAATGAAACTATACGGCTATACGAAGATCCATTATATATGAGGTCTAGGACTTAAAGAAACATAGTTCACATAGATGGTTGCACACTCCAACTAAATTATAAAAATAAAACATTCATAGCAGCTACCGAATCAGTTAAAAACTGTAAAATAAATCGTTATTGAGAATTATGCCCGTTGGAGACATAATTAATCTATATCTTTTTTTAACCTCAAACTTCAGCCGTATATCACTACTACTGTTTCTATTGGAAAGCTTGCAATATATTTATATATTTATATAAGTATATCTTTAATTTATATATGTTATAAGTATGGAAGTAAATCACACTCTTCTTTCATATTTTCTGTCCTTACAAGATTTTCTTAGACTGCGAATGAGTACCGATAGGAAGACCAATAGACGTAGTATGGCGGTATGAATGAAATTTAACCGAGAACGAAAAAATAAAATATCGTAAAGATAACAAAGGGAAGAAATACAACAAAATTTGGTTCCAATATTATTTGAATTGCAAAGTGCGGTCGCCTACCTAAATTAAACTCTTTTCTTCGAGATCAAATCTATAATAATTTCTATTGGATGCAGTTTTTTGAGCTGTTTAACTATGTGCTCTTCAATTCCCGCCTCCTCACTCGATTCACTTACATTGTGACCGAAAGGTTTTCGGAGGTTCTCATTTAAAATTCGCGCGCTGTATATTTTTCGATATTTTAAGTTTATGTAGTTTGGCAGCACTGTCCTTAATTACTATGCCAAAAATGAGCGCGATCTGTCAGACAGTTCGTTTACGGCAGCTGTTGAAACCAGTTCACCTCAGTAGTGCGTTGCGAAAAAAACAATGGAAAAAAATATTGAACAAAGAGTTTGCATCAAATTTTGTTTTTCGAACGAAATTTCGTGTGCAGAATCGTTGCGAATGCTACAAAAGGCTTATGGGGAATCAGTTTTATCGAAAACTCAAGTTTATGAGTGGTACAAAGCCTTTCAGGACTGTCGTACGACCGTCGAAGACATGCCGCGTTCTGGACGACCTTCGACCTCTACCACCGACGAAAACATTGAAAAGGCAAAGGAAATCGTGTTCAAAAATCCTCATGTGAGTGTTAGAGAGATAGCACGAGAGCTAGGCATCGGTCGTGAGATGGCTCGTTTGATTTTGGTGGACAATTTGTGTATGCGACGTGTCAACGCCCGGCTTGTTCCGATTCACCTCAATTTGTTCAACATTATCAACGATTTTAAGGCCAAACATTCAATAAATACCATCGAACAGCCACCGTATTCACCTGATCTTGCACCGTGTGACTTTTTCCTGTTTCCCAACCTCAAATTACCACTCAGAGGAACGCGTTTTGAATCCATAGAAGACGTAAAACAGAATTCGCAGAGGGAACTCAAAGCCATACCGGAAAGCGCCTATAAAAAATGTTTTGATGATTTGAAGAAACGTTGGCATTTGTGTATCGCTTCTAATGGAGCATATTTTGAAGGAGATAAAATAAATATTGATGAAGATTAAGAATTTTGCGTTTTATTTATTTATGACCGGAAACTTTTCGGTCACAATGTATAGCATTCCAAGAAAGTATATATCGTTTTAAGAGCTTCATCTCCGCAAGAGCTAAGTCCAAAACACTTTTACAATTCAATTAATTTTAGTTGGCTTTAAAATCATGTGTTATGCTAACATGATAAGTTCTACAAAATGTAACAACTATTCATCGGATATATAATTTTAAATGTTGTAAACTTTTTTAACTCTTTACTATTATAGTTACAGTAAAATAGATAATCACGATTTACGAAATCTATTGGGCAGGCTATAATTAAAGATCGATCCAATGGATCTTAGAAATATATTACATTACTCGTAAGGTATGTGTTCAAATCTCATAGAAACTTAGGTTACTAATTGATCTTTGAGTATGACTTCACTTTTAAATGAACATTATTAGAAGCAGCTCTTCGCCAGTTATAGAAATAGAAAAATTGTTCAAAGATTATAATTGATAATGATAATAGTAGGTAAACGATAGGTTCGGCCGAGACGACTGAACGATAAGCTATAATAATTTTTATCAATAATGCTTTGTTTGTGATGTAATATGTAGCTGCATCTGTAACCCCATCCATATTTTGTCCCTCACTCAGGTTTTCATTTTGAATTTTTAGGATTTTAGGCTAGGATTTTATCAAATGACAAGAATGGGTGTTCAGGAACTTATTATTTGTCATCATATCTTTCAAGTGATGAAATAGAAAACTTGACCTCGTCTCTTTAGATATTGAAAGTATATATGCTATTAAATCTCTTCATTAAATCGATATACTTTTCTTAACGCAGCAATTACCTGACTCCCTCTAAATTGTACAAGGTCTACAAGGTCAACGCCCTCAAATAGTCTACTTTTCGTGGATAAGTGTAATCAATTTAAAAACAATTTTTGTCCTCTGAACTGAACTTTCAGTTATGGAAAGTCAAGAAAAAAGTGCACAAGGATTTCTAAGGTCTCGGTTTTTCAAAATATTATGTGTTTGAAATTTGTCAGGTATTCCAAAAACCTTTTTTAGTAAATCAAATTTTGTTCTACTAATCGTGATCTAACCCCGTTATTAAACCGAAAATATTAGTTCAGTCAGTTTCACCTACCAACATACCAATATTAAGTTTAATTATTAATACATCAACACATATTATTAACCAATATTTAAGATGCAAGTGTACACACATATCACTTAGTTTTGGGTCTATTGAGTTGCTTCTATATACCTCCTCACCTTTCCGTCACGGGTCTTCTTCAATATTTTCCTATTGAAGCGAACTCAAAGAACTTCTGTTGAACTAAGGGAACCGTAATGGGTAAGTGGAACAAATAAGATAAATTTATCCAAATTCTCAGTACTCCTAAACCGGAAGCTTATAGTGCCTATGTGTTATAAAAAAAAAACACTAAATAAGATAATAAATGATAGATAATTAATTGATAATGAATTAAAACGAAGTGAATAGTATAATCTATCAATATTAAATTTTAATTGAAAATAGAAAAGTTCAAGCAAGAAATAAATTGTAGTACAATAATTAATTGTTTACAATTATTAATTAAAATCTCCGCGATTGCACAATATGAACTCATCTGGATTACATGTTTTACTTCTGCAATAATGTATTGATTTTATTGGTAGGTCTCCAGCAAATCATGCCCATATCGCAAAATGTGTGTAATATAGAAAAAGTATTATATCTTTATATCAAGTTTATGGGAAGAATTTCCTTGACATTGACAGACGAGGATACATAATGATATATATGTGTTCCGCATCGCTGGTTTCGTTCTAAATTTTCGGTCTAGTATAGCCACACTATAGTGACTTAAGATTCATTTAATAACGGCTTGTCTTCTAGTTGTCGTAAGGGTGCCAGATTCGACAACTTCTTATGTGGAGGTACTTTGAACATGTTTTCTTCATTTTCTTCCATTTTTATATTCTGTAGTCTTGCTCCGTTACAATTTGATCGCAATACGAGTGTACTTTATAATATGTATAAATATACATATATTTATATTAGAGCAGTTTAGGTTTGAAAACACAACTACTGTTTTTTAATAATTTAATATAACTATATAATATATATACACTTTTAGGGATACTATACTTTGACAAAAGTATGTTTGTAAGTTTGTATAAGCTATAGTGCGTTAAAGGTTCAAAATAATCCTAACTGTACTCACATACCAAAAAAAAAGAAACATGTACTCACGAATTTCTATCGATCGAATAGATCACTTTTGTAAGATAAGACTTAGAGATACTAGTAACTAAGTACAATGGAGTGTGTACTGTATATCGTGCATTGGCTGTATGGTGAGATTACCTGTAATGGAGTTTAGTATTATTATTACGCTTACATATATTAAAATGGTTGTCTTTAAACAGAGTACTTTGTAAAGGGAATATATATAAAGTATATATGATGTATATATGTTGGCTACGCGCACAAGCCAACACTTTTTCATTTTACTGATGGACCTGCGATAGCTCTGCTTTTGTATTTAAAGCTACAAATTCAAAGCTCTTGAATTGTAACAGAGTAATCAGATATTACCCATATACTCCAGTTTCTCTCGGTTCATGAATAGGTTTTCATATGATATCCTTATTGTCAAGTAAAGATGGCCTTGTTACTGTATCCACAACTAGAATGAATAGTAGTGTTGACACTACTGACAGCTTACCCCCTAGTGATTCCTTCAAATGAATCTGAGGGCCAGCCATGATGCAGTACTCAATATTTAAGTCCCGTGTTTATAGCTTTCGTAAGATTTATGAATTTGGATGACATTTGACGCCTCTTTATGATACTTCAAAAAATCTTCAATTTATTCTATAAAACGCTTTTTGAAAGACAATATCGGAAATATGGTATAGAGATATTTGGTATTACATCAATTTTACGGTATAAATGGTGATTGCTTCCGAAATGTGTAAGTGAATGACTAGACTGAAAATTCTTCTGAAAACTAAGTCATTTTCTTTTAAGATTCTTACAATACTGGTCTTATACCACAAAACCTGTAAGGACCCCTTGCACAGTAATGTTATTATTGTGTAAAGATTTTCCGATTTTGAGAATTTCAGTAAGTCTACATCTGACTCAACTTAAGACCTTTAGTATAAATATTATTGCTTAGTCATCAGGTAGCAGATGAATTTCATTTAGCCTGGATTGCATTGAAATAGTGAAGAGCCAGTTGAGAAATACTGTATCATAGTATCGTGTCGATTAGGGAATCTTTTGGAAGAAAATAACTGACTCAAGCCCTACAGATTTCTGATAACTATTTTAACGCTTTAAAGAGGCTTAGTTGAGGCCTAGCAATTAAGTGATAATCACAATATTAAATTCAAAATTGAATGGCTTGTTAAATATCATCTGCGACCTCCTGTTCCGCCTTTTCATTGAAATGTCTATATTTATGTTTAAATAAGAGATAATTCTAAACTGAAATGAATATTATGAATGTTCTCCTATTCTAAAGGGTTATTTTCATTTTCATTTACATATCTATATCGAATTTTCAATTTTATTTTCATGTCATCTTCAATACTCGTGCATAAACATTTCATTAGTGGCAAATAAATATATAATTAAATATTTATGACAGTAAATAATTGTAATGGATTTTAAAAATTTGCATTTAATTGTTTCCAATATATTTTGATGACTTGATAATTGCGGCGTTTTCGCAATGAAATCCCAGCCAATGCAGTGCGAAGCCATTCGATTCAATTTAATTCATTCGTCGGCGTATCTATTTGTAGCGTTTATTTTATAAAATCACACACCACAGATACTTAGACGCTGCCTGCCCGCCCCGCCCAGACCACATTAGGCGCTTTATGCGAACAATTTCAGATGCAATTGCGTTCAGATGCTACTCCCGATATGGACACGCACACAATCGCATTCGCCCCGTCAAGCTGTAGAGTAGAGCACTTGTATTATCGATGAAGGACAGGTCGGAAGGGAACGCAGGGAGCCCATCTAGCTTGCGAATAAATTCACTGTCATTTGCATAAACCAAATATTAAAACAACGAATAATTGAAATTCGTATCTGCGGCACGCATCTGTGCACACTCACAACACGGCTGTCGCCCGGGTCGTAGGCTCACATGCATTGAGATATAGTCGCTGATATAGCGGCTAATTGGGCGTGTACAGTTGCAAAATGTGCAGCGTAATTAGCGTGGCTTGTTTAGTTCAGTGCAGTTCAGTGCAGACTTGACTTGGGTTGACTTGGGTTGTCTGGTTTTGTCGCGTCCCGTCCCGTCCCGTCCCGGCTTAACTCGCTTGACTCGCCTGGTTTTGATTGCCTTGCCTTCGTTCAATTGAAATTAGAAATTGGATTGAGTGGAGTCTGTCGTGCGTGGTCCAATCTGCAAATTGCAACGCTGAAATCTGAACAGAAATCAGTGGAACTGAGGTTGGCGCTCATTATTTGTCACAAATTAGTAAATGCAAAATTTTGACAGGCTAATTGCATTTAACGTGTCTAATCGAAGGCGGAAAATCTTGAAATGCTGAAAAATTAGCGCCTGAAATTGTTTCGTCGTTGTCACTATTTTCATGTTAGCGGCGAATTTGTTTGAAAATCAATTAATTAAATTTTATTTTATTTTATATAAATTAGCAGCACCACTTGTTGCTAAGTACTTTAGCAATTAATAAAACAGTAATAAAGAATATCGTTTTAAAATAAATTATTTCATTCATTATGTTCGAATAGGTCCTCTCTCCGTTGAGCGTTATCCAGATGTGGAGGATGACGTGGACGTTGATGTTGTTGATTGCAGTGATAGCGAATCGATATCGACACATACAATGCGCTCGCATCATCATCAACACAATTCGTCTCATCGTCTTCACAGTCAACACAATCAACACAACCAGCATCATCATCATCATCACCATCATCATCACCATAAACAACATCATCAACAGCATAAGCAGCGGCACAACACTAACAACAACAACAGCAGCAACATCAATAATAACAATAACAACAATTGTCACAATACCAGCGCTAGCAGTACAAACAGCAGCAGCAACAGTAGTCGGGGGCGTGCCTCATCGCCGCAGAGCCCTACACCCACTGAGGAAGATCGTCTCTCGCCGGAGCCAGCGCAGGTAAAACAAAAAGTTAGCCAAAATCCATTTAATCGCATGCAATTCAGCGACTACAATGATTTGCTTTTTCATTGCTGTAGCCCGCACCCAAGATTGTGGGTTCCTGCAATTGTGATGATCTCATACCAGTACAGTGCCACCTCGAGACGAAGGAACTCTGGGACAAATTTCACGAATTGGGCACAGAAATGATTATTACCAAAACAGGGAGGTGAGTATATCACATATTTATTTAAATAAATATACTCGTGTATAGATAGAACAAAAGTATATTAAGTTAGTGTATATAGGGTGTTTCATTTTAAAAGTGCTTTACGGGGAGTGATTCAGTAGTCTGGGAAATGAAAAAAATCATTTGGGTGGAGAGATACCTTTTTATTAATTATCCAGATACAAGATTGCTAAGGCAGGTTTTCCGAAACAGTTCAGCATGACTTCGGAATTCATTTGATTAGAATAACTAACTAGTTAGGATAATTGTATGAACCGTTTTTGTGACATAAAGGATTGTTAGTGGAAGATTTTTTGTGCGGAATATTTTTTGTACGTACTTTCTTCCCCACGATAATTTTCATTTCATAGACCAATGATTCATATCCCGCATTTAAATCTCTTCGAAAGGTAGCACTCCCTATACAATATATATTAATGTGTTGTTTAGGCATGGAACACAATGAGGAAAGGTAATAAATATCACACATTTTAACAATATATATTTCTATATGTATAAACATTCTATATATATATATAATAAGTAGTTAATATATACGGATTTATGAATAATGTATGTATGTTTGTGTATGGATATATATGTGTATAATGTATATATGGAGGGCGATGGATAAACTTTCATACCGGGAGGTCTTTCGCTTTAAAAACTAGCAGATGAAGTTTAAAAACCAAAGGCAGGCTAAATGATAAATCAACGATACTAAGGCTTTATTAAATAAACTCTTTACACTGACGAAAGAATAATTTTTACATTTTCATCGGGTTTTAAAGAGGTTACTGCAGGATAAGGTGACCATAGGTGAACATCTCAATAAAATGGACCAATAGATCTATCTATCTGAGGAACAATCGCATTACTCCACATAGTTAAAACTGTTGAGATTACACCAATGGATCAACTGAGTTTGGTTTGGTTATAGTATTTTTCATTTGATGATAGAATTTACAATATATATAAAGTCCTTGTAAAAGCACTTGATGTCTTTCAATTTTATCCACTATTTCAAACGAATTAAAAATTCTCTGGTACTGGTCTCATCCGATTGGTACTAGTACATATTTTTATTGTTATATTTGTATATTTTTTTTTGGAGTTTTCCTTGCCTAATTTTGCAGTGCACAGCTATCTGAACTATTTTTTTAGACCCCAATTCAGGAATTTGAATTTCAATAAACCTCTATGTTATTTGGGGTTTGTCCTTTAATCTTGAAAAAAGAGGCACATGAATATCTTTAATGTCGCTCCGTATACTTATCCAGTTCCAGATCTTGTTAGCGGGTATTTATGCAATTAGCTGGTTGCCACATAGCTAATTCTCTTCAAAAATCGCTTAAATTATAGAATTATAGAAACTTGATTCTTAGCCATTATTGCAGAATCGTGTCATTATGATCAAGTTCTTTCATCAAAATATTTGTTTATCTATGGCACCTTCTATGGACCACTTGAATGTCTCAATTTTTCGTCTAACTTCTCTGCTAAATACACTCACTAGAATTTCATTAGAAAAACTGATATTCGGTAGATATCCGCATTCAACGAAGTGCAACAATTTTTTCATTAATAAGATTGTAGTTTTTTTTTTTGTATCAATTTTGGATCATTTTTGGATCTTATAACGTTCAACTTAAAGCTCGTTTTCGAATATCCGCGGCATGATTGTTTTTGATATGCTCAGTGCAGCAACCATCTGTGCTTCAATGAAGCGTCAAGTTTGTATAATTCGGACTTTACATTTGCGAACCAGCTCTGTCGCATATATTGAAATATTAGAGAGCTGTAAAAATAGTCAAATGTGATTTTTCTCTGAGAGATAACGCAATCACACTATATTTATATTTGAGTTTATTAACGGAAAAAATATATTCCAAATTACCAGAGACGCTTGCTTCTGAACAAAAAACTATGTTGCATTTTGATCAAATGCTATTAAGTTATAGTCATTTGGAATTGGATATAGTTTAATTGGCTCGCTCTGTCATTTATATCACCTAAGCCATTGTCGAAAGACTTATATATTTATAGAGAACATATGAATTCAGTATCAGCCCAATTTACGTTCCAAGGACTTTTGTGTATATTGATCAAAAACCGCTTACCATTGTAGTCAGAGTTTCGGAAGAATGGTAGATTCACATAAGTTCCAACATCAATTTTCGGAACACAAATTCAGAATGTTGTTGCTTAGGTTGAACTGTGGATATAACAAATCAAAGTTAACATAATAACAGATAACTGAACAATATCAACACATAGTGTAATGAAAAACTGTATTAAACTCATCAAAATACGGCATTGTCAGCCGGTATACACATTATCCTAATTGTATACACATTATTTATATTTTCATGAAATCAGGTGGCAAAGCACATCGTTACAGCTTTTATGAACTTTGTCCATAATACAAAGGTTAATCATAGACATTTAGAATTATAAATGCAGATCTTGCAAGTAATCAGTTGGTAAAGAATATCATCCTAGGCTTCTATCCAGTTTTTATAAAAACTCGATGAAAATAATCTCTTTAAAGCTATTATTTTCGGAGAACGGAAGTTTGGTCATAGTACTGAGTAAAATTTTCTTTTAAAATTCGTCACTATCTCTAATACATTAGATTTGTACTCTCATTTAAAGTCTCTAAGCAGCCTCATCCAGTCTCATCGTTTTGGACCCAATAGATCTCTGCATTGGTTCGATTCAGCTCGGCGGCATCGGTTAACAAGTTTTGTCTATTTACGCACCTATTGTGGTTAATGATGTTTCGTTGTAATCGTTAAATAAGTGTCCTTAGTTTCCATTCTGGTAAATTCAAAATAACCTCAACGCAATCACGTACCGCGCACTCTACACACAAAGGTTATTAAACGTCACTGAAATGTATATTTAAAATGTCATTATATGTATTTAAGTTCTTCGTATCAAAACTAAACTATCGGTCATAGATGTGCATTGTGCATATTAAAAATGCACAATAAAATTCTATACCTTGTCGTCCTTTGTTGATTTCCGCCCATATGTGTGCAATCAAGACCATTTATTCACCGCACTGCACTTTTTGTCGCAAGAAAATTTTCACCTAATCTCATTTAATTACCAACAACATTTTTTACAATATTTTTCAGCTTTTAATTTTTTTTCCTCGCATTTTGTTTGTTAATTTTTTCATTTTTCCATTTATCCATTTTCCGAGCAAGGTCCAAAGAAATTACAACGCAAAAATAAACGAAGTGCTGACATAGATTGATATCGCTTGCATTTCGCATGTGACGCATGTGACAAATGCGCCCACACACACTAACTGCAGAGAATAATTCCACACTCACGTCGTGCACATTTCGCTGCTATGCATGCCTTCTTCTGTGCAATTTGTCTGGATTTGGAGTTCAAGTGTAATATTTGTGTGCGTGCGTGCGTGTGTGTGGTGTGTGTGTGTGTGTGTGTGTGTGTGTATGTGTTGAACTGTGTTCTCTGTACTGCGGCTATGACTATGGCTTTAATTAAAGGGTAAGGCTAGGATAACTTGTTCAAGACAAAAGCAAACATTAACAACCGCAGAACAGGACATTCGCATAACACATGCAACTGGAAGTTGTACTTGTTATTGTTATTGTACAAAATAGTATTATTAATATTGTTGTTGTTGTTGTAGTTATGTTCGCAATACAATCGCCAACATTTACATTGCAATTTATACCAGCATTTATCAAATGCGATTGTTCTTGCGGTTACCCTGTCGTTAACATATTAAAACAAACATCGCGAAGAATTACTGAAAATTACAAAATATTACAAATAAAAGAAATATGAGGCACGAATGTAACACAAAACACAAAACACAAAAAAATAAAAAAAACAAAATACAACACAACCAGCAAGAAAACAATAAAATTATGTGAAATGTTGTATTAAACTAACAACAAAAAAAAATAAAAAAAAAGGTATTAACAAAAAAGTCATATAGAGTAAAAGGAGTAAATTTATTAATGGGTTACCACGGGTTGGCAACCCATACACCCGCACTTCGCTGCTTTCGCTGCGTGTATGCAGTTATTATTGCCAATCACAACAACAACACTAACAATAACAATAATAATAGTAACGACATAAGCAACAAAGGGTTAACTGTCAGAGTTAAGCTTTTGCATACAAAAAACAAAATAAAGCAAAATAAAATGAAAACAAAAATCTAAATAAATCACCACAAGTTGTTTAAAGAAAAAAAATTGTTATAATTAAAAGAGTAAATATTGTGGGGCTGTACAGAATTTATAAATACATTATTTAGTTAGAAAATTAGTTCTCTATTGCGATATTAATCATTAAAAAGTACTAAATGGTTTTATTTATTTAAAGGAATGTGAAAATGATCTAAAAAATGGTCAGAATCAAATTAAAAATTGAAAAATCAATCCTTTAACATTAAAAATTTGTATACAGCAAATTTATTTTAAAAATTATTCTAAGCATTTAATCCAGAGTTAAATTTAATATATACTTTTTTGTTGTTTCTTTTTCTCTTGCCTACTCTTATGCCACTACATAAAGAAGCTCAAAAGTTGTGCCATATAAATGCAAAAATTATGTACAAAAAAAGTAAAACCAAATTTTCAACAACAATGATGTTGTCTTGTGTACTATAGAAGTTTTTTTTTGTGACTACAAATGTGTGATGCGATATCGATTGTGTAAATGTAATACTGAAAATGAAAAATTTCATTTAAGCAAATTTTTGAAAAATATAATTAATTCTGTGACGGTTCATTTCATGAGATTTAATGAGAGCATTTTCAGTGTCCGATTTAATCACTTTATTAACAATGTTGAGAATTTTTAAATATTTTTGTTAAAAATTTATATATTTTATATTTTAAAGATATTATAATATAATATTATGATATTATAATTCACAAAATATTGTTCTCGTACATACGAATGACTTTCTCAGTATTACGTTCCTAGATTTAGGTTCTATACATAAG